AATAAAAGTGATATAATTAGATCACTTGTATTAAATTGAGCGGCGACAGTGTCCACCCCCCCCCCCCCCCCCCCCCCCCCCCGGTGCAGGTGTTCTATCCATACACGACAGCTCTGTGTTTTGAATTTCGCTCGCAAATGGCGATCACTCATTGGTCAGTGCAGTTAACATTTTCCCAAATTAGCCGGGGAAAGTGGAAATACCCTTTTAAATAATGCCATGAGCTCAGGGCTTAGATCATTTTAAAAAATTTTTTTTTTGTTCCTTCAACTGAAATCCCTTTTTAAAGGAGAACTATGACATGAGTGATTTCCACTCGCCTCATAGTTCTAGCCGACCTGTGACAATGAGACTGTCACAGGTCGGCTCAGTAGATCGGGAGGTGAGCGAACACATACCAGGTTCGCTCACCTCTCGATCCTGTCACGGCTCTCTGCCGTGACAGGGGGAGCGCTGGATTCCCCTCCTCCCCACTCCGATCTGCCAGCGCTGACTAGCGGAACGGACGGGGGAGGGGGCGGGTACAGCTGGCTCTGCCTCTAGATAGGCAGAGCCAGCTGTCACTCACGCAGCTGGGCGGATCCCGTCATCTACGTCGGGATCCGCTGCGGCGTCTCGGTATACCGCGCGCTGTAGCTCGCGGTATACTGAGCTTAGGGTAACGGGAGGACGCTAGTTTGTTTCCTCACGTTACCCTAAGGAGAACTATGGGGAAAAACACTGACCCCATAGTTCTCCTTTTTAAGGTAATTTTTGGTTGCTTATAATAAATGCAGCACTTTGTCCTTTCTGCTTTCAGGATAGAATCGTCAACATTATTGTTGGTGTTTTAACATCCCTTCTGGTCCTGGTAAGTAATTTTGTGGTGTGTGGGGTTTTTTTTTTTGGGGGGGGGGACTAGATCTTGACATGTAGTTCTAGTACTAGGGTAGTAGTTTGCAAACAAACCCAAGTGCTTCTTTGTTTTAGTTGTGTTCTAGAATGAGTTTCTTCCGTTTAAGATGTGCCCATAGTCTCTTTCGCTGTATACACGCAGCATTTTAAGAAGACCTATTAATAGCCTTAATATAACTTTGTGCTACTAAAGGGTAACTGCGCTTGCAGTTACAGTGCAGACCTATTACACCCCATTCACACTGAGCGACATGGACATTGCGCGTTTTTCAGCACGATTTCGCGCTGAGGGGCTTTGAGCTACATTGTGCGATATTGAGCGACAGTGCACAATTTGTCACGCTACATAGCGCTTTTTTGGGCGGGACTTTGTCGCTGCTACATTGGGCTGTAACCAATCAACAGCGATCTTGATGTGACATCATTCTTTCCTTCCATTTTGCAGTGCAAAAGTGACCCTTCTGTAGCGCGATATCGCGCAACAGTATAGAATCTATTGGAGCTGAATAGCGCGACATCCGTACAAAAAAGGGTCATGTACGAGCGACAAGCTACAGGCGACATTGAGCTGTGAGATGTGAACAGCTCCATTGAAATGCATTGGACGAGGTACATAGTCATATCGCACGGAAATTTTGCGCGATAAACCGCTCAGTGTGAACAGGGCCTTAGCTGTCGCGCTCTCTCTGCAACCTGTTTTAAAACAAAAAACCCCATTAATGTGTTACTCATTCGTGTTCTCCTCATTCAGAACTATAGGTCCTGGCTTCTCTGTGCATCCTGCCGTTCCAAAGTAGAAGCTGACCCCAAAACCCATTAGAGGAAGATATGGCCAAGATAGCAGTTGGGACTATGTACAGTAAACTCCCCGTTATCCAGCATCCAGGGGATTGGTAGATTTCTGATAAATGTAGTCTCTGGTTGCTTCAGCGTTATTATTAAAAATAGGTCTAACTAATGCCATACTCCATACTATACCATACCATAACCCAAACTCTGTATTGACTTCATATTAATATTGAAATGCAGCACTCAAAAGCAAATTAAGGCAAGTAGATACACAATCGTTTCTAGGATAATGCATGCCACATATCAGCAGAACAGCGAGTACATAAGGAATGTTTTACTTGCTGGTTAGAGTTCTGGTTAGTTGAATTCCGGATAACCGTTTACAGTATTAGGTTAACAGTCTTGTCCTAGGCTCCCTCTAGTGGTTCCCCGCAGCAACTTCTCTTTGGCATAGCTCGATATACTTAGAAGTCTGAACCTGCAGGGCCCCAGTGTGGAGGACATCCTCATCTCAACAAATAAGGGACCAGCTGCAGTTTAATTTATAGTGCAAAGATGCTTGCTTACGTGAAATATGAATATATATTTCAATGAGGAGAACTTTCAAAGCTATTTTGTCTTTATGGTAAGGGACTCTGTGCAGGGTTATACTTTGGTGAAGCCCCGATGTGAAGATTGGGTTTATATAGCGTTGTGTCCTTCTTCATACATGTTGCCACCAGATCTTTTTTTTTTAAAAAGGGAAAATTTGCTTCAGACCTGCTGCATTGCTCACTATGAAACAAATGGATCCTTCCTTTTAATTAAACCATTCCAAGGCAAAATTTGGTTACTGTAGGGCAACACAGGGACTGAGACGAGTAATTTCTCAGACACTTTCAAAAGGCAAAACACAAATAAATATCGATACTGGAAGCCGTGCGGCTTTTAATGACTCGCCGCCTGGCTTCCCGATTAGCCATGGAGCAAGCTTTCTGGCCAAACAGGAAGGCGGGCAGCCTGTAATGATTCACTACCCAGCTTCCTGATACCAGAAGTTTCGGGATAGGCATCGGGAGCATTTTGGCGAGTACATGTACAAGTAATCCAGCACCAATTCCCAATACTAGTATCAGTGCATCCTTAATATAAATAATATCATGTTTAACGTTGAAGTGTGCATTAAGAGCTTCTACAGGTTTGATGTCGTTTTTTAATTATTTTGTAATGTGAATGTTGTTTCGGTTCCTCCCAATAACTGTGTCATTTCTATTGTGCAGGTAACCATTATCAGTGCTTTCGTCTTCCCTCAACCACCTCCAAAACCAGTGAATGTTTTCTTTGCCTTCTGCATACTGCTGTGCTCAATAACTGGTCTCATACTGGTAAGTATTATACATCAGAAAAATGCTATGTAGCTTCAGAAATGTGTATTTTTATTTAGGATAAAATGATTAAATACTAGAAAAGCAGAGGGTAGGGATAACACTTGGTGTGGGCTTTTTTTTTTTTTAAATTTAAAAATTGTATTCTAATAGTGTAAATATTTTTTTGATAGTTTTGGAAGTGTTGGAACTCCTGTCCGGTTTTTTTTTAGTTGTCTGTCTCCTTTAGGGAGTTTTAATTTATTTGACCACTGTCAAAAGAGACTAAAAGCGATTGGAACAATCAAATGTATAAGAAATACAGAAAATCTTCCAATGGCGACATTTATTTTAGTAACGGCTTCCTTGACTTGGATAGATTTCATCTCACTTCTTTTTGTGTTCACGGTAGAGGAAGTGACGGCAAAAAATAATAGGATGCAACTATCTCCTAGCTTTTGAGTATATCAATACACATTCAGGAAGCTCCATTCTAAAGAAATCATTAGTTACGGCACTAAATGTGTTCCTGTAAACCTTTATCGCAGGCCAAATATTTATTTAACTGTGACCATTGCTGACAAGCATTCTGCAAAGCACATCTTAGCTGATAGTGGGCCTTTTGTCTACCAGGTTATACGCTCATTATTTACCCTCACCTCTTTTTCTCTGTCAGCCTCCAACCTCATCTGATAAAAAGACCTCTCTAGAGGTGGACATGCACGTAGCATTTTGTGATCGATTTAGGTGCAATCACAAACCATAATCTATAATAAAAGATGCAACAGACACTGTACTGTTCCACACCTTGCAGTCAACTGAAAATAACGATGGAGAATATGGTTTAGCAGAGATATATGTAAACACTCGTTTTTATTCCAAGGCCAATCCATGCTGCAGAGCCAAAATCAATTGAGATCTATCTAAAGCGATTGAACAGATGATCTTTGCTTTGTGACTTTGATTTGATGGAGTCAGATTGGTCCATTGAATGATCATAGCAATGCGTGTGTGGCCACCATAAATAATACTTGCCTGCTTGTAGCTCTCAGTAGTGTTTCAGTCCAACAACATAGCTCCTGCCACAAACAATGACTAAATAGTGTTGAATCAATTTGAGATGACCTTATCAACTCCTGTGCAACACCTTCTTCCCAACACTGACACTTCTCTGTCAGAATCGGTCATAGTGCATCTTACCCCACCCACTGCCTTTCTGATCCAAACAAGATTGAAGGTCACATAGATTATGCAGAGTGAATAAATGACTCTAAAGGTGGCCATACACTGTACAACCATCGCAAGACCTTAGTCTTGCGATGGTTGTAAAGTACTTAAAAAAACATACGATCTGCCCATCTTGGACAGGCAGATCGCACTCTCGATCATCGCAAGCCCGCCCCACTGAGGGGCGGGCTTACGATGACTGTAATGAGGGGCGGGCTTACGATGACTGCAAACGGGCAGTGTGCGCGTGCGCACACCGGCCTGTTCGGCAGTTGTCGAACCAGCAGGCCACTAACTTGCCGAGAATCGTACGATTCCCGGCGGGTTTTCTAGCATGCTGGTTCGACGGAACACGTGCGACCGTACAGTAGAAACGGTCGCACGCCTTCCATACACTGCACGATTCTCGTACGTTCGCAGGATTTCCCTCGATTCTCGTACGAGAATCGTGCAGTGTATGGGCACCTTTTAGGCAGGAGTCAAGAAGATGGTGCTGCACAAGAGTGAACCCATTAGCTTTGGGTGTAGGCAGATTGGCATTGTTAGTCTGAATGCAGTCTCTCTGCCAAAATCTAACTTACTTAAAGGAGAACTATGGAGATGAGTGCTTTTATCACTCACCTCATAGTTCTAGCCGACCTGTGACAATGAGACTGTCACAGGTCGGCTTAGTAGATCGGGAGGTGAGCGAACACATACCGGCGTTCGCTCACTTCTCGATCCTGTCACGGCTCTCTCCTGTGACAGGGGAGGGGCTTCTTGAACTGCATGTCTAGGGCGATGGGGATTCCCTCAATTCTCACACATTTGCTCCATAAGACGCACAGACATTTTTGCCTGCCTTTTGGGGGAAAAAAAAAAGTGTCTTATGGAGTGAAAAATACGGTATGTCCGTTTCTCCTGGCCAACGTATGGAACCTCCAGAAAACATTCTGATCTATGTATGTTACTGCAGCTTTGTTGAGTTCTGTGGAAAAAAATTCTTTTTTGAAAGATTTATAGTTTGTTAAACATGATTGTTAATTGCAAACTTTGGTAGCTGGCCCTTGGCATAATCCTATTTATTACAGAGTGCTAGATGGAGCCCGGGAAATTGGTATCTGTAATAAGTGTTGCATTCTTGTCTATTTACCCATACTACACCGGGAAAATCTGATGATTGGGTGCCACTGGCAAGACACTATAGACTTGGAGGCCAAGTATCATTACAATGCAGCTTGACATTCTCTTACATACTGTTTTATTTTGCAGATTTTTTGGTACCGGCAAGGAGACTTGGAGCCCAAGTTTAGGAACCTCATTTATTACATCTTATTCTCAGTTGTCATGTTATGTATATGTGCCAACCTATATTTTCATGATGTGGGGAAGTGAATCATGGGAACAAGGCAACATAAACTACATCAAAAAGCATGTTTTATGGCAATGCCAGAGAATGAAGACACTAGGTGGAAGCGGCACAGAAGTTTTACTTTGTTATCCCTTTTAGGAAGGGAGGAGCTACTGCCATAAGGGACTTTTTCACCTTTTAAACCATTGTTGCACTTACATTTTCTGCTATGGACTGGCACTTTTTTCTTTGTTTTATTTTTAATTTTAAGGACTAATGAATAAGAAGAAACAAAGAGTGCACAATATGTTAAATAATCTTTATTTTGTTTAAATATAATACCATTTTCTTTTTTCTATGCAACAGATGCCAGTACTATATTTCACATGACCAAAATTATGTTAGGTTGTGAAAGACATTTTCAACAAGAGGGTTTCAATAAATAAAATAATTTACTTATCTGTTTTCTTCACATTTTAAAAGGTAAAGCTCTAAAAATGACTTGCTATTAAACTAATGTCTATCTATGTCCTTTTAGTACAATTACAATACATTCTGTGCTTATTCACGGACATGAAGGGCTATTTTATGAGTTGTAGGACTGTATCTAATGCCCATAACCAACAAGATGAACTGTGACTGTGCCTTATTGGGGATCTTAATATTCGAGGCACTGCTAGGCAGGAGCTTATTTATAAGTCTGAAAGAAAACAGCCAGCGACCTGTGCTGTTCCTTTTCTTTCATTTTCAATCACAGCAATGACAAAAAGAATGTGATTGGTGGTGTTCAGGGCAGGTATGTTTACATCCTTCACTTTATATAAATTAGACCCCCACTGTTTGAGAAAGTACAAAAGGAATGTGTATGTACAAAATTGTTTGGCTCTGCCCAGTGCGGTCAACAGTTCGGCTACTTGGGATGATTGAGAGGGTCAGAGAGGCTTATGGAACAACCAAGTTCTTAAGTAGTCATGCTTTCAAACTAAAGGCTATCCCTTTTTAAATGACTGCATTTTGAAGGTAAACTCTAGAAACTAGTGTTTATCTCTAAAAAGGTCCCCTAAGCTACATCTTACTGCAGTTTCAGATAAGTAGGAATACTTTCTGGGTGGTTTACTGTTTTGGGGATCCACGTGGCTTCAACAGTCCCTGAGATGCAGAAAAGTTTGTCTTTGTGGCTCCCCCTACTCCTGTGCATAACACTGCAGGCAGCTCTGAGAAATACAATGTAAAACCCTTCCCTTGTTTCATCACAAAGAAGAAGTGTCTGTTCTTTGTCACTAAATGGTGCTGTTTATATAGAAAGTACTGTAATAGCAGGAAATGGAGAAGAGATCCCAGCAGGGCCAGGCTGCCAGGACTCCCTTCCTTCATCTACACAGACAGCAGCCATGCCATATACTGGCAATTAACTTGGTTGTCAGGGGAACACATTTGTATACGTAGGACTGAGCAGGTATACATTTTACAATGTTTACTGCATGGTCGATCAAACAATTGTATTCTGCTTTCTTCACTGAACGTGGAGTTCTTATTTAAGCATAATGTAACCGCACACATGATAGCAAATATAAACTTCAAGGCTTGTTTGATTGAGTCGCACTTAAAACCATTATAAAACAGGCTTTTACCCTGAAAGGTTTAGAAAATCAATACTATTTCTCTGGCGTATTCATTTATTTCCGTCTATGACCTTCTCAGGTTGACTAATGCAAGCGGGTACAGCTCGGAGCAGGCGGTGCTCAGTGAAACTGCTCAAACTGTTTGGATTTAAAAATTAGAATGGAACATCCTTTTTCTCTTTCGTCCTCAATGTTTTTGACACAAGTGTGATTGGGGCTAAGGCTACAAAAAGTCATATAGACACTTTATTTAAATGTACAATACTTGCAAACCGTGTAGTGAACATATCAGAATCCTCTACAGCAGTTTAGCACAACACAAGTGAAGTTGTCGGGAGATACAGTAGTCTTGCTTTCCACTGACAATTGTGTAGGGTAGAGGTGCACAGGTCCAGTCAATAAGCCTCCACTGGCCAGGATATTTGGAAAAACAATCATTCAAAGAACCTTACTTCATTGTCACCTTTTGAGTTAAAAAACAAAAAACTAGATCCCAGCTTCCAAGATCTAGACATTTGCACTTCAAACTTTTATCCCCCCCCAAGCTGGTAATTTCTGCTTTTCACTTCATTATGTAGAAGCAAAAATATAGAGGGTTAGAATTTTGACTGGTTTCCTGGACCACTCAAGACAATATACAGCCAAGACAAGGGGGATGATTTACTAAATTGACTGTTCACCTACCAAAGTGAATATTCCCTTAGCTTGGTGAGGTCAAGCTCTGCAGACTTCCAACATCCAATAATATACAAGCAAAAAGTAGGTTTTGTAAAAAAAAATTCCTTTTACATGATTGGGTATTCTTTGCGCCATTCTAAGTAAAAACTCCCTTGCAAAGTGAACGTACTCTGGACATTTAGTAACCAACTCCAATGTGTTACAAGTTAGCATGAACTGGTTCCAAAACCAGTGTGTAAAAGGTCAATGGGAAATGTAGAAATCTTAAAAGCAAAACTACTGGCCCTGACCCGTGACAAAACCAAACTGAACCTTATGTTTAACACTATATACACAGACCCTATAGTCATGTATGCAGAGCCAGTGCCTGTAGACTGTTTATTATCCTAGTGTGGTAAGACTTGGTTCACACCTAGGCGATTGAGCTGGTGAAAAATCTGTTTTGTGCGATAGCCATGCGATAAATTGCCTAGGTGTGAACCTAGCCTTAAGGTATATTTTTAGTTTGGTCCAACACTGATCTTTTTAAGTAACATCCCAAGCACTTAAAGTGGACCTAAGATCAAAAAGTTAAGATTTGCTATATTATAAGAAACATCTAGAAATATTAACCGTGCCTAACCAGTATCCTGAAAGATGTAACTTTTGTTTTTAAGCACTGCACTTGTTGTGTCTTAAAGCCTTATAGCTGTATATCTGCACTGTGTGATCAAAGGCACTGTGCCACTTAACTGCTAGCTGACCTGATTTGGAGTATGTTGTGTTGGTGCCTCTAGTGTGGTGCTTACTGTTTTCCTTGCTGGAGAGAAAGCTGGACCTGCAATGCAAGGCTTTACCTGCTTCTGTTTCATTCCTTCTGTGCTTTCTGCATCTTCTGAAATATTCCTACAACCAGTAATCAGGGAACCAGCTATGACATGTGAAAGCAAAGCACTGCCTCTCCCAAGATGGCCACCATTGCACACAGAGGCACAGTGTGGAACTGGGGGGTGAACACACAACAGTTTGGGTTCTCTAGTATTTAAGGTGAAGCTCTTTCTTTGGATAGGTTTGCTTAGTTGAGCAGTATTATTATGGTTTTCTAATATGTCCATGGGGAAAATCTTAATGGAACTTTATGTCCATGTTATATATATTCTGAAATGTATTCTATATGTGGCCTGTGGAGTTGGCCTTACTGCTACATAGGAATGTGCGCAAACATATCATCATATGCCTTGCACCTAAAATTCACAGTGGAAGTTACGTGGAATCATTGCATCCGCAGCCGTGAGACATTCAAGATATGCTTAGCAGGGGGGGGGACTAACAATAATTTTTCCGCAGAAACCTGAAATCCCTCTTGTCAAGCTACATGGTCTAGGTATAAATCCTAAACCCATAAATAACAAATACATAGATTAGCACCATTGAGAGTTATTTTTTTTTTCCTTCTTGCCATATTGGCTTTTAGTATGTGTCTTCAAATACAAACCTTCATCTAGAAAACACCTGTAGTGCTCAATATGGAAAACTATAGCAGAATGTCACATTTGCTTCAAAAACCACATTATCTGATTGATACTGTACAACAAGCTCGTATGAAGCACTTTTGCATTTCTAAACTGTGATGAAAACCTGACATGAAAAAACTGCCTACTGACGGATGCCTTCTAGAACTGCAGATTGTTTACGCTTAATGTTTTCAGGTCCCTATCAAAATCTAATACTTCATAAATGGCACCTGAGTGGACAAAACGTGTTTTTTTTTAAAACTTATGATCTATTCAATGAAGAAAATGATCCACCACCAGATGGCACAATGAAAAAAGTTACTTCCGCGTAGTGAACTAAAATGGTCATTTACATCAGCTAAATGAGAACAGATGGCTACGATGATAACAAGCCCTGCTCAGTATAAGGCCTCGTTCACACCAGACACATTGTGTTCCGGCCTGATCCTGGCCAGAACGCACTGCATCACAATGCGCCCGCCTCACTATGTTGTGGGGCAGGAGGGGGCGTGGCGGTCCATTGAAGTGAATGGCACAGTAGCCACGCCCTCCGGCCAAAAGGGAACACAAGACAAATTATGCCTGCGGTCCGGTCCAAACAAATTGCTGCAAGCATCGAGCCGGAACGCACTGTGCTTGGTGTGAATGAGACCTAAACCTCTTATTGTGACATTTACTGACAGTTGCAAAAAAAAGCAAATAAGGCCACAGTTTAAAAAAGAAGGGAGCGTATCTAACCAATCAGACTGTCTGTGATCACACTCATGTGGGGCGAGCTCCTGAGTTGGACTAAAAATGTTACCCCAGGAAACTGCTAAGAATCCAAACACTCTCCACATGGGAAACGGGTGGGCCTCCCACACAAGAACCGGACACCTCCTCAGCAGGAAAAAAGGGAGAAATATACAGCCTCTTCTCCTTCTGGCTCACTCCATTCAGCACAAACACACAGGGGCCTGGAAAAATCCAGAGTCCGATCAAGAAATGGATGAAGTAGACCGACCCAGTGCTATCAAGAAATACTTCACACTCCTGCCCACCAAGAAAATATAGAGGCCCAAAACACCACCGGTAACTTATACTGTATAACAAGCTTGTACGATACACTTGTGGTATTTGTAAACTGTAAACAATAATGCATTAGCCTAGGGGCTAGGGGCTGGATAATACCAATGTCTCTTATTTAGCACAGATTTGTCTCATCTGGGCCTCTGTTGCTCTGTACGATTAGGGTAAAGATGGAATGTTCCTGGATTAGAAAGGTATATTCAAATCTAAATTCACCCTAACCTTTATATAAGCCACCTTCCTCCAATGGCTGCAATGACTACAACCTGCAAATAAGCATTCTTTCTACACAGCAACACCTACCTAGTGGGAATTGGTGACATCATAAATAACCCATGTTGGTTGAGACTCCATTTACTGGCCTGTGGCTGCTTTTATCCAACTTTTGGGACTGGTGCTAGTTCCAGGGCAGTAATAATTTGTGCAGCTTCACACTCAATGATGTGTCTATCCCAGGACTAGTGTTACTATAAGGGAAGGGGGAGAATCAGAGGTGAAGGGAACCTGTAATGCCTAAGATCCTTGTCTGCATTTTGGAGTGAAGCATTGAATAAAATACTGCTGCGTCAATTTGCCTCCAAATGTACCGTCTATAGAGTTAAAAGGTAACACACCTCTCTTGCAGAGTTGTGAACGTAGCCAAATACAAACTTTGACAAAGGTAGGTAAAGATTTGACACCCTCCCTTCAACATCAGTGACTGTGATAAAGGATTCAGTTTAGAAGCAGAGCTGGTTAATGAAGCTGGAAATACCTGACTGTAACAATATAAGCTGGTGATAACATAATAGTGCATCATTTGTAGTGTAAAAGTAATTGGCCTGGTGCCATAACACGTTGTAGCAGCTATGCGAGGGTGAAGGGTAGAATGCGTGCAGCAAGTCTAGGAATGGATAGGAAGCAGTTCTATAAATCCTCCACATCTTTTAAGTCATCAGAGTCTGGTCCATCAACCGAGGAGACAAGACCATGGGATTTATTCCTGTGGTGCTGCAATATTGGATCTAGAGAATAGAAACAGAGATGATCAGCCTTGTGCATGGTGGCAAATAATGGTAATCTTAACCATGAATGGGGGGAGGGGGAGGGGGGTAATGTTAGCCATGCCTCCAGAAGCTGCTATCTAAATAGATAAATATACAAATATCTAAATAAAACCCTACCTACATTGCAAAAAGCAAACACATTAAGCAATCTCTGGCCTCTCTTATCTTCATAAAATGTTTGATTTGGCACACTGCAGTTTTTTTTCTTCTTCTAAAAACATCCTTTTACCCATGGATGGCAAAATAAGAAAATCCCTTAAAGGAGAACTATGGGGTTAGGGCTTTTCCCCATAGTTCTCCCCAGGGTCACGGGAGCACACAAACTAGCGTCCTCCCGTCACCCTAGGCTCAGTATAAAGCGAGCTGTAGCTGCAATTTGCAGTATACTGAGATGCCGCAGCTGAAGCGGATACCAACAATTGTGCCGGGATCCGCCCAGCTGCGTGACTGACAGCTGGCTCTGCCTATCTAGAGGCAGAGCCAGCTGTACCCGCCCCCCTCCCCCGTCCATTCCCCCAGTCAGCAGTATGTGCTCGCTCACCTCCCGATCTACTGAGCCGACCTGTGACAGTCTCATTGTCACAGGTCGGCTAGAACTATGAGGTGAGTGAAAAGCACTCACCTCATAGTTCTCCTTTAACTTACCTCATTCCATGCAGCTCACCTTTCCTTCACTCCTCTGCCAAAGTGAAATGAGTGAGCATGTGACCCAATTCACTTCCCCCATGTGACAGCACTAGAGCCTCATGATTGGTCCATCGCCGTCACATGGGGCAAAGAAGAAGTCCATGGCCTTGTGTAAGCTCCAAGTCAGTCTGGAGCTTTACAAAATGGACTTTTAGTATCTTATGCGCTCTTTCCTTCTGCTCGGCATAGCGGACCTCTGTGGAAATAGGAAACCTCAGTGATGTGGTAAAAGTGCTCCCTGTTCTGCAGGCAATGTCAGCATTATGTAGTGGAATGGAATAGAAAAGACGTTTCCTGGATTTTAGAGTGTTATAGTAAGAAAAAATAATTTGTTCTAGTTAGGGAACTAAAAAATAAAGCAATTAGAAGAACACCCTGCTTTTTACAGAGCATTTGTCCTGTTTAAAAAAAAAAAAAAAAAAACTATTGGAAGTACAATGTTCATTTATTTAAGAAGAACTCCACACACCTGCAGTAGTCTCCCAAACCTCCCAGTCATGACCAAATCCTAGGTAGTCCTGACAGGCAAAGTCTTGAGACATCTAGCTGATGTTGGAGTTTGCTGCCAAGTCCCTGTCCCCATACATTACTATTGGCCCAACACTATGATAGGCAGCCTCACTGGTTGCAAGGAGGTAGGAATGAGAAGCCAAGCTTTGCCAATATCAGGAAGTGCAGCAACTTCACGTATCAGAATGGTTCCGTATTTGGTCCAAACACGAGGCTTTTGGAGGCAGACATTTCTAGGTGCCAGCACTTTTTACATTTGAGGACAGATCATCTTATTACAGGTTCTCTAATTACACTGCGGTCTCCGTTAGAATTATGTACAACCATATCTGTCTCGATTTGTATTGTAACTGTAATGTCCTCCTTATATTGTAAAGCGCTGCGCAAAATGTTGGCACTACATAAATCCTGTATAGTAATAATAATAATAATAATAATATCTGACATGCAGAGCTTTTCCTTATCCACATTCACAACTATGTTGATTTGAAGAAACACAGTAGACACTTGCACATGACATCAACACATTCATTCCTCCTACCTGCAAGTGTGGTCAGAGGAAGCACAGATTCTCCATCAATATCATCACTTTGTATGTAACTATGACGACATGATGGGACAATAAGCACTGTCTCTTCAGCTGGAAGCTTGCTGGCATGTTCTTCTAGAGCAGAGTGTCCAAGATCCTGTACCAAATAATAGGTATACACACTATTCAGATATAGTTCCTTATAATTCATAATGTTGATAAACTCTGGTAACTTGTTAAAATGTATACGTGTTGTGATAAAGTTGTGCCTCCTTACCGTTGCCTTCTATAACTGCAGATTTCTCACACTTATGTTTTCAGATCCATGCCAAAATCTAATACTTTATAAATGGCACATGAGTGAAGTAATAACACACATCGTTTTACTTATGTAATGATGAAGAGACCACCTGTACCCCATACAGCACTATGACCTGTTCAGATAGGGTGGTGCTTGTAATGACAACAGCGGACGGCGCAGTGTACATCCAAGGAGATCTAAGATGAGTCACCAGCACACATAAGTTTAGGATGCAAACTTAATCCAGTTTAGTACAAATGAGTCACATAAGTCATAAAGCCAAAGTACTGGGGCCACGCAGGGTCCATTCCTCTACACAGTGACCGCTGGATTAAGCCTGCATCCTGAACTTGTATGTTCTGGTGACTCCTCTTACAACTCCTTGATTTTTTTTTTACTTATGTGACCTATTCAATTAGCAATGTTATCCAATACAAGTTGGCACTATGGAAAAAGAAACTGCCCCATGGCTAAAGTGATGTTAACTGCTCACTGCCTGGCTTTTGTAATGAAATGGCAGGGACGGTGGACTCCTAACAACTGGTGGCCGTTTTTAAACGTCCTTTCACGCTCCTGTGCCCCCCCTCAACTCACTGATATCTCGATGATCCAAAAGCATTTTGGGAGAATGTAGTATGGACAGATGAGACAAAAATAGAATGTGTTGAATGATATGGGTCCCATTATGTCTGGTGTAAAGCAAAGTAGATGTACAGATGTGTCCCCTGTGCTCCTTACAGCATTCACGACCTTGGATTAGCAAGTGGTGCTCGCAGTGATAATCACGGATGGCCCCGTGTACATAGACTTGTGTAGAAGAAGGATCACCAGCACTTTTGAAAAGATTGTAATCAAATCCTTATGTTCATTTATTATAAAAGAGCATCACATATATCCATATAGCCAACGTTTCGGGGGCCATGCAGGGTCCCTTTAACAGGGCCACATAGTCACTATGTCGCCCTGTTGAAGAGCATCACATATATCCATATAGCCAACGTTTCGGGGGCCATGCAGGGTCCCTTCAACAGGGCCACATAGTCACTATTTCAACAGGGCGACATAGTCACTGTCGCCCTGTTGAAGGGACCCTGCATGGCCCCCAAAACATTGGCTATATGGATATATGTGATGCTCTTTTATAATAAATGAACATAAGGATTTGATTACAATCTTTTAGACTGCTGGTGATCCTTCTTCTACACTGGTGTAAAGCAGACACAGCATCCCTCAGCAAGACCTCCATACCAACAGTCAAACATGGTGACAATGTTTTGCCAGGACCTGAAAGACTTGGCATAATGGATGGAACCACAGATTCTGTTCTGTGTTAAAAAAATCCTTAAGACTGTCCTGTCACCCAACCATGAACTGAAGTATACAGTAGTTGAGTATTCAGAAATCGGCACACTCCTTCATAGTCGGCATAGTTGCTGACAAAGTGCACCCATTGGCTTCCTCTTCCTGTAAATGGCAATGTCTAGTTGATAGACACTTAATACCGTTATCTGAGATAGGTTAAAGCAATTGAACATTATTATATTAAAGATATCTGGGGGAACTGCTAAACTGTGAAGAGTACCATATTAAAGGGAACAAATATTCTAGAAAGCAGACATGGGATAGCAGGCAAACAAAAGCGGTGCGTAAGACTAAGTAGGTGTTTGTAAATTGTATGATTACAAGGTGGTGGTCTTAACCAATAAGGGGATTCACAATGTTAAGTCCTAACATTCATGTTTTTTAGACTTACCTTTTTTACAAGGTTTTCTTTCAAGGCATTGCAAGCTTCACCTGGTTTCACCCTCACACTGGTTATCTGCTCTGGTATTTTAGAATGTGGGAACAGTTTTATAGTACCCCCCACCCTCATCTTTGAGGACTGCTCAGTGCAATACAAAGAGTCATGGCTAATGTTAATGTCATTATGGTGGATCTCCCGGGGAAGATGGTCAACTTCGTGACAACTCTGAGGACTGTTCAAGTCTTGTTGCTGCAAGGCAGAGTCTATGGAGAGCTCAGTCTGAGCGAAGGGTGAGGAGATGTCATCTGAAGCAAGTGTTCGAATTATAATTCCAGGCGTGTGGCAGTGGACGGTGACATTGTCATTTGCATTGAGGAGATGTTCTGGCTGTAAAGGTGGATGAAAGGGACATAATCAGAGGAATCCACATACACTGTGCTCCACATTCCTCATAAATACCCTGTTATTGTACAGTATTAATACAAATAATTCTTACTATTATTATACTTTGATTTGTTTTCTCTTTCAATAGCAGAGTATTGAACCCTGTTAGCTACTGGTTAGTGCAGAAAGTTTGGCGTTTGAGTGATACCCTTTACTGGCTAATTTAAAACACATCGATACCCAAGAACACAAATGTAATATATTGCAGCTTAAAAGCCCTCAGATGTGAAGGATGCATTTGGTTTTTTTCCCTGGTTATGTTGCCAGTAACACACTTCCTGTGACAAGGCTAACAATGGTTACTCACTGTACGTTATGGAGTATCTGGAGGAGCAGCATTGTCACCTTAAGCCGCTCTCTGATTAGGACTACAGACACCTTCCCCATCCTCATCCCCATTAGGCTCACCATAAATGACTGCACAACCAACTTTAAATTTACCAAATCTAGGAAATATGAAAACTAGGGATGCACCGATACCTTTTTTTTTTGTATCGCGTACGAGTTCCGATATTTATATTTCGGTACTCGCCGATACCGAGTACCAATACTGGTACTTCCAGTAGCATGGAGCTGGCTTCCCGGGCAATCAGGAAGCCAGGCAGCGCGTCATTGCCCGCTGCACGGCTTCTCAATTGCCCGATAAGCCGGCTACATGCTGTTTGGCCGGCTACATGCTGTTTGGCCGGCTACATGCTGTTTGGCTGGAAAGCCAGCATCTCAGCCAATCAGCATAGAGCCAGCTTCCCAGCCAATCAGAAAGCTGGGCCGCAAGTCATTACCCACGGCCTGGCTTCCTGATTGGCCGAGAAACTGGCTCCTTGTTTTCTCGCGGCACTGCCGGTCAGAGGAAATCTCCCTCTGACCGGAAGTTCCTCTATCAGGATAACTATCGGAGCATTTGGGCGAGTACGAGTGTACAAATACCAATACTAGTATCGGTGCATCCCTAATGAAAACCTACCTACCTACCTCTGCACGTCATACTTGTTGGTAGTTATAAAAAGAGATTGTGCTATTAGGTTGTGTTGAGCTTTACTAGGGGGAGGTGATGTGTAGTTCACGCGATAAATTGGAAAACTGATAACATAGTGTAGGATATCAGTTCAGTGCACAGGAAGTTACAAAAATACTGAAATCAGCATTAACAGATATTTTTCTCTACTTGCAGAAAATACAGCATAAGACCCCCATACCAACAGTCAAACATGGTTAAAGTGTGGGCATACTTTGCACCATAATTCCGAGGTCATTTACCTCACATACAGACATGCTAACGGGACATCATTTTGTTGTAAATCAGAAATCTGAATAGATTCCCTCTTTGTTGCTTGGCTTATGACGTTTCACCTACACAGGAGTACTGTAGTGCATTTTATACATGTGATCAGGTATAAAACGTTTGAGGAGCTTCAGGTCAAAAGTATTCTGTACTCTATAATCGTGTTATCAATGGTATAGATATGTGTGCAGTCTTCACACCACTTATGTATTTTTGGAAATCTTGCATTGTGCTGTTCAGGAAGCTTCTCACAGTTTACTTTTTGGACTGGGTATACAGATATTTTAAACAGACTTTCACTATCACCAGGTCACACTTAACTGTAAAGCGTATAAGGACTTTATCATGTTTAGATTCTCCATTTCTATATATCCTAACAAAGTTAAAGGAGAACTATGAGGCGAGTGCTTTTCACTCACCTCATAGTTCTAGCTGATCTGTGACAATGAGACTGTCACAGGTCGGCTCAGTAGATCAGGAGTTGTGCAAACACATACCGGCGTTCGCTCACTTCTCGATCCTGTCACAGCTCTCTGCCGTGACAGGGGAGGGGCTGGATTCCCCCCTCCCCGCTCCCCCAGGCTGACTGGCGGAAGGGACGGGTACAGCTGGCTCTGCCTCTAGATAGGCAGAGCCAGCTGTCAGTCACGCAGCTGGGCGGATCGAGACATAAATTGTCGATATCCGCTTCAGCTGCTGCGTCTCAGTATACAGCCAGCTGTAGCTCGCAGTATACTGAGCTTAGAGTGAAGGGAGGACGCTAGTTTGTGTCCTCCCATTACCCTAAGGAGAACTATGGGGAAATGCCCTGACCCCATAGTTCTCCTTTAATATCACTTGTGTAATAACAGTACCAACTGCATCTCTCTTTTGCTTTGTGTATATACAGTATATCTCATTTTCTGACTCAGTCTTGTATAATGCCTGGCAAAGAAAACTAACATTTTTAGAAGGCCGAATCTTCTGTCTTTTGAATTAACCATTAAATCAGGGGTAGGCAACCTCAGCATCATAGCTGTGCTGAAACTACAAATCCCATCATGCTTCTGCCTCTGGGAGTCATGTCTGTGGCTGTCAGAGTCTGGCAATGCCTCGTTGTTCCACAACACCTGGCGTGCTGAGGCTACCTAACCCTGCACCAAAGGATATCACTTTAAAAGAAGAAATGCAGGGAGAATAAAATCATATAACCGATGATTGCTCAGCTTCTGGTGTTTTCTCCCTTCAGAGAGTAGTAACTGTCAGTCATTGCCCCCTGCAGGGTCTTCCCCCTCCCCTCTCTGTTCCTTTAGCACTCATTGGAATAATAGACAGGGGAGGGAGCAGACACGGCTTGCTCTGTGTCTAGAGAGGCAGAGCCAGAGGTCACTTAAGCAGCCAGGGTGGCTCCTGACAATATTGCTCGGATCCTTCCTGTCTGCAGTATGGCTCTGTGCTGTCAACTAATGGCCACTATCTGCTGTCTTTGGGTCACAGGTATACATTAGCAAATGTGCTCCTGGTATCCAGAAGTGGTTTGCCTTCACTTCTCTTTGAACTCCAAACTAGCTGCTGAAGGGTAGAAAGCAAAAACAATCATTTTAAAATACATTTATGAACACTGCTGGCCCAACTATACTCATATTACATGCATCCAATACAAAGGCTTCTTACTCACTGATAAGGAGTGCACAATAATTTGCTCAGGTGATGCAGGGGAGGTGCTGGATGTCAAGGTAACAGAAGGGCTGGATGCCAAAGATAATGGAAGACTTTGGGAAGATCCTGTCTGCAGAATGAAGGTGCCTGTTGTGCCGGCTGGCTGCAAATAGAATGACTTGGACAGAAAAATAAGAGTATCACTAAAAGAGCTGCTTAAAAAACAAATTTGTTGAGATTACATTGTCCAAACAGTCTGTGAAAATAGAGCTATAATCATGAAGCAGCCTCTGAACCAGTTACTATCAAAGTACATATATTGGGGAACTTGTGATAGATATTAATTGAAATCTGGAGCATTTGGCTTGCCATTATTAATTCTAGACATCTTAGCACCTTTTTGGAGAAAGCATTCTCATCCGGGTTTGCCCTGCTCTCATGGACAGGATGACTACATTTAGATGGTGCTCACCCCTGCAGACACCTTTCTTACAGCAACCACTTGCCCCTTCTTCCCCTTCTTTTCTGTACTGTTACTTCTTGCTGTACTCTCAACTCCTTTCTACTGGAGAGATTGGTCTTAAACCTACACTACCATTGGTCTTAAACCTACACTACTATGGCCTCAAGCTCACTACAAAGTGCTACATTTGGTGGAATATCCCTATATGCATTTGATAATGGTCTCACAAACTGCATTGCATGTTAACAGGTCCAAGCCATTGAATCACATATGAATTTAATTAGTGAACATTTAGGAAAACCTACATTTCTCTGCTTTTCCTTTCCTTCTACAAGAAAGGGGGTGTGGAGCAAAATGCAAGATTTGTCTTCCCTTCAATATTCCTCTTTTACTTCTTAATTGTAACCTATTTAACCACCTTTTCCTCATAATGTGAAGGGACCACAATGTTCACTATCTGCATTCCTTTTACTATCTTTTACCCTTTTTTATTTTGTTTCAAGATTAATATTTTTTTTTCTATAAACAGCTGGTGACATTAAAAAGGATCTATCCTGGGCATCAAATACTCTAGTAACACCTCATTATTCTTTTATTTAAAACTTTCTACACTTACGGATCACACAAATGTACCATAAGCTGTGTATATAGTTATTTCTAGCAGGGGTTCCCAGGGACCTAAAAGTTATTTCAAGGTTTTCCCCATGACAAAAAGTTTGAGAAAGGCTGCTTTTATTACATTCCCTTAGACTTCATCAAATACAACATCCTTGAAGAAGAATGCCTCCGTTTTACCTCCTGGCATCACTTGGAAGGTGTTACTTATTGCTTTGCCTCTTTTGCTCTTTTTGTACCTCTGTAAAATTAGGGAAACAAAGTTTGAAAGAAAAAAAAAAAGTATAGCTGATGAGTCAAACACTTACTGGTAGGATTTCAAATGTCTGTAGTGTGGCGGCATCTGGGTCAGCACTGGGGGAGGTAGGGTCTGGCGCTGCAATAAAAAAAAATGAATTACCATTATTGTTATTATTAGATTATATAGCTGTAAGAACAACTCCTCAGCCCAATACAAGAAGTTCCAGAAAGGCAAAATTACTGGCAGGTTCACCAGGTATTTTTTTTTTTTCATTTTTGAAACAGAAAGACAACACATGGCATAATAGATTTACCAACTTAAAATAAAAACACTTTGTTTTTCAGGTACACATACACTTTAATGCTTCCCGTTAACGGTAACATCACACTCAACCCTCTAAATCTTATCTCTAATATTAACCCTTGATCCTAATCCTAAAGCTAAACCCTAACAAACTGAAACCCTTCCAGCTTTGAAACCCTAGGCCTGAAATATCTTAGATGGAAAAAGAAGGGCCAGACATTCCATCCTTAAGTAGCCCCTGATACTGGGATCAGCCAGAGAAGTACTCTCCTATATCTGGCTCAGTGCAATAATAGGCACAGGAACCACTCTTTGTGGTGGTGTTGCTGAAGCTGCAGGTTGGTAGAGTTTGGAGAGTAATCCACAACCTCAAACTGAATTACTATGAATGCTAGTTCTACAAGAGGGAAGGAAGGTTTGAGATCCCAGGAAGGGACTCCTAGCTAGGTGGCCAAGACTCTTTGTTGATATTATGTGCTAAGTCTATTATTATGCTTCCCTTCTGCCATGCTGTGCACACACCAGCTCCAGCCATAGAATATAATGGACTATATCCTGAAAATAGCCAACTATAGTCTAAAGTCCATACATGTGCAATATGGCAGCAGGGAAGTGAAGTTGCAAGCTGGAAAAAAAATACTGTGCTTGGTGCAGGCTGTGATACAGAGATCTGCATGTGTATCCGAGGTTGGTAAATGTATATTGGGTTTTGATTACCACAGGTATTTTATGGTAATGTATTTGGAAGTGATACTAATAGCCTGCTAAAAACATCACAGATGCTTTCTGTACATTAATCACTTTAGACTAGCTATTACTAGTGAAAGCCTAGGAACTAAACCTCAGAGCCTTCCTTCCAATACAAACATCCAACAGGCACAAAGTCAAGATCCCAGCACATACTTCCACAGCTTTTTCTTAGCATGTAGAAATTCACTTTTCTTACCTAGATGAGTAATCTGCACAGGGATCTGCAATGCTGCTAAGGAACTCTGAGGAAGACCTGGGCTGTCCTCTAAATGAGCTACTCTTATTTGAACACGTTGAACACTGGAATTTGCACTTTGAGACTGGATGTCCAGCTTGTTCTCCAAATCTTGAGAACCCAGAAGAGTAGTTTGGTTTTCGTGCAATTGACGCAGACCTTTAATTAATACTGAAAACAAATATATTTATGAATACAACTTCTTAATGAAAATACCATGTTCAGGTTAATGATGCACTATTTCTCTTGTGGCTATATGAGAAAAACCTCTGATTGTGTTAGAATAGAGTATTACATCTTATTAGTAAGACAATAACAATGCTGTGGTTACTCATTTAGACATTCACAATCATATTTCATTGTTGTTTGTTGAAGACGATGACATTTATTGATTTCCACGTATCCTCATAGTTAGAGCCGACCTATGACAAAGAAGCTTTCAGAGGTCGGCTCCATCGATCGGGAAGGGAGAAGAAACATGCCGCCGATCCGCTCACTTCCCGATTGTTTCCTTGCAGTCCTTCCCCAGCAGGGATTCCCCCTCCCCTCTCCGATCCTCCAGCGCCGAGTAGAGAACGAACGGGGGAGGGCTCAGCTCGTTCTGCCTCTAGATAGGCAAAGCCCGCTGTCAATCACGCAGCTGGGTGGATCCCGACAGTATTGTCGGGATCCGGCCCAGCTGCGGCACTCTCAGTATATCGCGGGCAATAGACTGCGATATACTGAACTTTGGGTCATGGGTGGGGGTTACTATATGTCCTCCTGTGACCCTAAAGAGAACTATTAGGAAAAACAACACTTACCCCATAGTTCTCTTTTCATTCTGATTGTTCTGAGTGTTCACCACTAGCTTTACACTAATTATTCATATAAGCCCGTTAGCATTTATTAGAACTGGTCAGTCTCCAAACACCTCTAACTGAGGGTGTTGGGTTTGGCAATTTTCTAAGCACAGTAAAGGAAACAAGATGTAAACTTACAACAAAACATGTCTGCATGTGTGCAGTGATGAATAAATGAAGCACTAGTATATTTTTTGAAAAACAGCATTTTGCAGACAGACAAGGGCTATAGGTTCATTTAAGTGAAACTATATAAAAGCATTTCTCTTTTTCTCTCTATAAGCACTTACAGAGTGAAACATGAAGAATAGGTATAGGCAATACTAGTTTTTTCACCAGTTTGAAGGACCTTATGCAATGTATTTAGGTTATTCGGTTAAAACAGTAATTTGATAAAATATGAAGACACATCTTGTATAGAAGAAACAAGGATAATTTCCTAGCACTGGCAATAAACAAATGTACATTACCAGGAAAGGACACGTCCTTGTGGTTTGCGATCTGTCTCTTTACTGTCCACCATTTACTTCTGAGCCATTGCGGAGAACGAACACTGCTCCAGCCTTCTGCCAATAAATCCCAGTTGATGTCATTCTCATCCAACACGCCGAGCTCTGCTATTCTAGCATTAACAGAAATGGAATATTAGAAATGAGTAGGCTTTTTCAGAAATATATATTTTACTTACATAAAAAAACCCTACATGCACACCAACATACTGTAAGATGTGCTAATATACAAAAGTGCTCTGACTGGTTAAAAAAGCATGAATACTTTCAACGAATGTTAGCCCTTTTTAGTTCTCATATTTTGTAAAAACACTGCAATGGAATTCAGGTGGAATGTGTTTTCTGTGGTGTCTCTGAATCTATGTTTTTAGTCATTTTGGTATAATTTCATTATCTCCTGTTACGCAAGCGAAACAAGTTCCATTCTTTTGGTAATGTTCGTTCCTTTCAAAAGCGGTTATTAGCCCCCTGTAAATGAACCCTAATCCAGTTAAAACTACTGCAGCTTGAACAATAAATGGCCTGCAGCCAAAGCATCCAAATTTTGCGTTAGAATGAAGTGTTCAGAGCGCAAAGGTTAGTACAGTTCATTAACACATATTTTGATCTTTTTTATTAACATACTAATAAATATAAGTGTAAATGAAAGAATAATTCCTGCCGTGCTATCGTGCACTTTACCATGAAAGTCAAATGAACCAGTTAAAAATGGAACTAGTCTAAGAAGGATAATTCAAACCTCATAACCAGATTGACTTCGTCTTCTTTGGTCCACTGCGTTCCACCACTCTGCTTCCAGTTTAGATAGTTCAACCACTTCGAGCGACACTGCTTTTCAGAGCGTGTTCCCACTCGTTCTGCCACGGAAGCCCAAGACACTCCTTGTGTTACTATATCACCAGTCTCCGTGCCCGTCAGCTCATGAACAACGTCTGTTAGCCTTCTTTCTTCTTCATCTGTCCATTTCCCTGAAATAATATATATGTGAATTGAAACCTCCTCAAATGACTACAAAAGATAAATATTTTTCAAGGAGACGATAACAAATAGGACACTTTAGACTCTTTTGAACACTGAAGAGAAGGATTTAACTTTAAAAACAGTTTAAATGAAAATCAAACAGGAAGTGCCACTATTGCACTGATGTATTAAAGTGCTGGTTCTTGTGACCTGAACTAGAAGACACATTCTGACAAACAGACATGACTGAGAAGTTATATGACACTTCATTAAGTCAAAGCCTCTGCATGTTACTGTATGGCATCCTTGTGCTACTATAATACAATTAGCTCATATCATCATTCATGAAATGACACCAGACCGAGGAAACATTTATACATTCAAAACAGCAGCAGCAAACTTTTTGTTGTAAGAACCATATTATTAACAACTGGCATGTCTCACAATGTTAGAAGGATATGGTTGACTGAGACTAGGCCCACTTTATAAGCTGTCTTTTCTGGGAAGCCCTTCATGTTGCAAAGGTGTACTACCATGACACACAAGTGAAAATGTTAGTGTTAGTACTAAGAGAAGGTGGGAATGTTAATTCATGCATGCCCCCTCTGGATACAGTAGTGCAACAAATTTAGTGGTAACATTTGAAAGAATAAGAAAATGTATAATAAATACAGTGCAGTGTGCACAAACACAATCACATCACAACACATAACCATATGTACCTATACAACTATAGCTTTAATCTGAGCAGGATTTGCACCTGTTTTACATGTCTCTTTCATTAGTCGACAGCGATCTTTGACAGAAGAGGCACTTCTACCTAGAGCAGCTCCTATTGTGGCCCAGTCATTCCCATGCTTCAAACGTAACCTTAAACAATTGGGTAAACGAAAAGACTCCATCAAAAAAAAATTATGATTTGGGATTGTTTTATGACAAACTGTATAACTATATTAAACGCATAGTTTGTGAACTTTAAAGTAAAGCGCAGTGAAAGAGTTCTGCAGTATTTGGTTCCCTCCTAAAATGTTAGCAAGATTGCAATCATATTAGAAAAACGACAACCCTTTCTAAAAAAAACAACAACAACAACAAAAAAACTAAAGTTATGTTAAGTTTAGATTACATACGCATCAAGGTATCTTAACATGACGGTACTGAAGATAGTTCCTCCGAACAGATAAAAGATACCACCAAGACCATGAGAAGCTTTTCTAAACTTGCATGCCTCTATAATATATTTAGGAAAATAATGCCCATGCTAGTGAGCATACACCCTAACCAAAACACAACATGCTGTCCAACAAGATTTCTGAAAAGGGTTAGCAGGTAAGACCAACTCTATTTTCCCTAGTGATCCAACAGGACAGCATGGCAGAGGTAACGTATTAGAGAGAGACAACAGTGTGCAACACCTTTTTGTATATAAAAGGGGCTGGTCCTGGCTGCACCTGTTAATACTTTATGAAAGTGTGTGGACTTGACCATATTGCTGCCTTGCATATATGATATTTGGAAGCACCAGTTATCTCAGCCCCTGATGAGGACACAGGTAAGATTGAAAGCCCTGCAGCAAGAACAGCAGCTTTTTATCCATGGGTGTCTTATGGGCTTCACAGTAAATCTGATTCATCTACATATAGTGTCCCCGAAAGCTCTGTTCCTCTTATTAGATCCAGAAGACGACAAATAAACTGATTGACTTTCTCCATTGTTTTCTCAAGTGCTAAAGATATCTCCTCATCTATCATCTCAAGAATTGTGTGTTTGCTCCTTAGCCTAACTGCTGAAAAAAATATAGTATGGATATTAATATAATTATAAAAACATTTTGTGTAATCTATTAAATTTAGGCAAAAACACAGGATTCATCTACGGAACTATTGTATCGTTGAAAGCATTTTACACGGCATTTTATTAGCATTATCATAGCCAGGAAATGAAACAATACAAATGCAATGATATTTGATCATTTCAGCCTAAACATTACATTTTATCATGTACAATAAAGCTTATCTGTAAACTTGCCCATGTATTTTGCATTACTTACTCTCTTAGTTTTTCAATTTCAGCATGTGTGTACCTGCAAGAGACAATTGGAACACCAAAATTAGGCACAGCATAAAAACTACATTAAAAGCCATACCACTGGACTAAAATTAGATTAAATAAGCAGTAAATGTGACATTCACCACACATTCAGGGCGGGTGTATATTCCTGGTTCATGCGTTTTAAATTACAATGATTGTTACATTCACTGCTTTATAAATATGCCCCTAAGTAAAGCTCTGAATAAAGTCTTGTAAATGTTATAAGTCATTCCCTTACATGTACAGTATATTAAACAGTGACCAAATTGGTGACAGGAGTCCTTTCAACACACTTCTAAAACCAAAAATGTTTAATAATCCATTTTAATATAGGAAATCTGTTGGCACATGTAAGTATAACTACCAACGGACGACCGATTACATCTAAACAAGTAAATGTAAAACTGTGCCCACTATATTTAACTTCGCATTTTTATTGCAATCTTTTGCTACTTGCAGTCTCAGCATGGCATGTTTATATACTGCAATAATTTGAAGGGCGTTTAATTCTGTACATGAAAAAAGACTAAGCAAATCAAGGGCAAGAATTGTTTGAGGTAGTTCATCTGTGGGGCCACTATTAGAAATCTTGGGGTGGCCCTGTGCACCCTACCTGACAGGGCCCACCCCTACCAACTAAGAGGCTCACAGTCAGATGCTGCATCGTGTTCTAATGTGCAAGAGGAATAGAGCAGAGGTTCTCACTCTTAGTGAGAACAAGGCCCAGTAGTTTTCTTCCAAGATTTCCTTAAAGTGGAAGTAAAGTGATAAAAAAAAAAAAAAGTCCACCAGAGGTGATTGCCATAATATGCTAGTGTGCACAACATATCTGACTTACTTGCAGTGCTTGTAGATAATTGAGGACATATTATGGTTACTATATCCTCAATTAGGAATGAATGGGAAGTGATCTACATCACCTCCTGTTCATTCATAATTGTGGTTATAGTAAACAAACAATGTTCTCATGTTATCAATGAACAGGAAGACTCATAGAGGATTCCTGTTCATTTATAAAAAGGGGCTGCAGAAAAAGAGATTGAGGACTTTGAGTCCTCAAATTTTTCAATACTTCATCTCACATTGTGCACTCCCCTTTCTTCTAAGCTGCTTACCCCATGCAGCTTACCTCAGGACAGGCCTCCAGCTCCTACCGACAGAGACAACAAGGACTATGAGTGGAGAAGGCAAGGCTATTAAATGGCACAGAGTTATTGGGGTGCCTTGAACTAAAAACCAGTTGATAGAAAGGGAGATTTTAGTCCAGTGTCCAACCTAGGGCACTGTCCAACATCATCATTAGCAAGGAGGGAGCATATGGGGTATCCTGGTTCATTATAATAGTCAGTTTCTACTGTGATTTTCTAGTTCATGAGACCCACTGTACATAGTCACAATCCTGGCTCCACATAGTGACAGAGCATGGGGTCCAAGTTGCATTTTGAAGTATAAAAGTAATTTATAAACATACAATTTACATGTGAATAGTGTTCTGGCTTCCTCTTACTTTCCAACATGGTTCCGGTCATCGTACATGCGAAGAACTCTTCGGTACACAGCAAAGAGTGGGCGGTTCAGTCCCCAGGCGATTGTCCTATAAAAATCTTTCCTTTCATCCTTTGACATCTCAAAAATGATTTCAGCTGCATCTTTAATACCATGTGCCTGAACAAGCAAGAAAAATTGTCAAATAAATAAAATAGCAACAAGCTAACTCCAGCCTAAACATTTGGTTTACTTTGGATAGAACGGGGAAGGGATAGAGCTTCTGTCAGGCTTTTATTGCTGTCTGCACCCCTACTGGAGAGGTCTCCCCTCACTTCCTTGCAGACAAAAAACATCTTGTGACACAGAAAAATAAATGATAATAATGTTTAGTAAAGAAGGATTCAATCTTTTAACAATGTTCTCATAGCTGTCTGTGTCTTTCTATCTCAGTAATAACCATTTACCCATTTTACTGTATGGGCGCCAAAGCAAAGGAAGTGAACGAAAATATCACCAGTGGGTTCACAATGAAAACCTGATCAAAATGTTTGCTCTTCCCCAGTCCATTCAAAACTAAAAAAAAAATTTGGCTGCAGTTAAGTCTTAAACCTAGACATAAGGCTGGTGGGGTTCCATCAAAAAAAACAATTCACAATATACACATCTTCACATCACACCTTGAAATGTACCAAACCAACAAGTACAACCAACCTTCAAGTATCGGTCTATGTTGCTCATTAGGATTGCTATCTCCTCTTTGGACCACATGCCTTGCTTCCATCTGTGGCCTAAAATATAGAACAAAAATAATGCTGCATTTGCTGTACTTCTAGCATCACCTCATAGGACGATGTGATCCTTCAATAAAGGACACTATAAATGGTTAATGTCTGGACATGTGCTCATCTATTTTCCCCACTAGGGGGATACAAGCCTTAGTTAGCAATATCTACATAGTTATTTCTTTATTTAATGTCTTTAAAAAAAATATTATATGCAGTTAAACAGCATTTTTGTGCCCAGCCCCCATGCGGTACTGCAGTACTAACCTGCTGTGTCGTCTTCTCTGTCTGCTTCAGCCACTCCATGTCACAGCCTAGTCATCTGCTCCATTCTGACCTCTTCTCCTGCTGATTGGCCGATTGGATGATTGACAGGCTTCCTCACCAGTCACTCCTGAATGGAGCAGATGACTGAGGACTTGGAGGAGTTTGCGGCCGTCTTGTTTCTTTGAAGACGCTATGGAGGTCCTGTGTGCGGTGGTTTCGGGTCCTTGAAGATGGCGGACACGGCAAAGGTACTCGTTTTTTTGTATTGGAGTATTTGCATGAGTACTCATGCAAATACTCGGTATCGCCGCCGCTACTGATGCTTGTATCGGTATCGGAGCATCCCTAATTTTTACCATTGATATAACATTGTTTTTCAAATAAACAGTTAATACAGGATGGACCTATAACATTGGGTTTACAGAACATTATGGGTTTTCTAAAAAGCACAGCAGGTCCCGTTTGCTTTTGGACTTTCTCACTCTGACTGAAACTTTGCATGGAGCACTCTTATTGGGTGGCTAGGTAGGGAGAGTGAGGAGGATGAGTCACTGCTATGAGACTTTCAGTAGTAAATTTCAGCTATGGAGCTCTATAAACAGGCTTTTTCCAACAGAAGACCCTAGAAAACGTGTGAATAGGAGTCTGGAGCTCCTGCTGCTGGCTGGATATAAGAATGCAAAATACTCATATGTAATATTACATATTTACCCGACTAAAAAGTCATTAAACATTTTAGTCTTGCCCATAATAAAAAGGGAAAAAAGTGTATAACCCCCTAAAAGATTACATGAACATTAACAATGGTCTTCTCCTATTTGCCCTATTTGCCTGTTAATTACACAAATCAAAAGAGTTGCGTTTTATTTGTTTCACAAAAAAAGCCTAAAAAATAAAAACTAATATAGTCACTGCATCTAAGGAGTAATAAGTTGCAATATACTATAATTTTGTGTATTGTATTGTCCCGCAAACAAGGATGTTGTTCTATATCAGGGTCAATGCAACTTAAAGTTGTTATCCTCTGAAATATGTGCAATAAAAGGATTGTATAGTGATTTTCTAAAAACAAATGTGTTTTATGTATTATGGTCGAGGTTACAAAATAACAACTTTTTTTGTTTTATAAAATATTTAATTTAAATATTTAGCATTGTCCTATGCAACCAACAGATGGAGCACTTGGATCCTTTTCATGTGTTTTCCAGGCTCTTACAAGCTCTTCTGTTGAACAAGTCTATTGATTACAAAGCACAATTGCTCAATATGAAATGTACACTTAAATCTTGTAAGGATAGCCCGGTACTTATTAGAAAACCAACACGGGCGCAAGCTAGTATGAAGTCTGTGCCAACCGGTCCTGTATAGAAAATTATGGGCAAATGTGCCTTAGCTAGCACATGTGTGCGTGCTGGTATTCTTATGCGCAGATGCGTGCATGCTATTGTTAGCATCTGTGTGCAAGCACGGGCGTACAGATGTGCACTTGTTTGCGTGCTTCTTGGTGCCAGTCTCCCCATTTAAACCAGCACATGCTCTGACCTAATTGCTGACAGGTCTTCAGTCAGTCCTCGTTATCTCAGTTTCTCTTATCTGTGAATCTGCTTCCTGAATACGACCTTGGCTTGTTACCCCGACCCAGCTTCAGCTTATGATTCGGTACCTCGTTCCCACTACCTTCTGATCCTGGCTTGTGACTTTGACCTTGATCCCGGTTACCGATTTGGCACTGCTCTGTCCGGATGTTGCCGACCCTGGTCTGTGCTCCCAATCTTGCATCTGTTATCTGCTCCTGTACTCTGCTGCTTCCTGTGTGCCAACTCGACTCTGCCACCGCTGCCTTCTGGTCAACACTCTCAAGCATCTGCACAGATTTCATCTGATCTGCATCCTTGGTGCTCATGCGTTCCTGTGTCCTTGCTCTGTCTTTCACCATTTTCAGGAGAGCTGGACAAAGGTTGCAAGGCTAGCCTTCCCCTGCTCAATTCAGTCTCCATCCAGGTATCTGACAACTCTGCAGTGCAGTGAGACATATTTCTCTCCCGTAATCAGTGACAGTGTGTCCGTAAAAGAACAGCTTCTGCGCTCTCTGTCGAAAAGCCATAGTGTCTGGGAATCCAGGGCCATGGGTGCACAGTTTTTTTAATTATTATTATAAAACACAACAGTATAAATAGAAATATAACAACTTAAAAAATTCAAACATTAACAGGGTTATTCGCAAAAGTGTGAAGCGTTTGAAGACAGGAGAAGTGAACAATCTAGGACAACATAGCTGAACTGGAAAGTGAGCCAAACTGGAGAATGTTTCCAAATCAGCTATTTTGGCCTAGATTGTTCACTTCTCCTGCCTTCTCCAAACTCTTCACCCTTTTCTGAATAACTCTGTAAAAATATATCATAAAACCATTATGGATTCTCTTTAACACTGTATTAAGCACACATAGCACTTTATGCGACACTAACTATGATAAAACAATGCTATTCAATCTAGGACTACCTTTGTTGGTGAGAGAATCTTTGTCTTCTTTGCTGGTAAACCATGCTCTGCTAACTGATGACATGTCATCATTGCCTGCAGGAGAAATGTCATCGAGCTGCTCATTTTGGAGGATCTTGATGAGAAGATAAATTAGAAAACATCAACAAGTTTTACCAATGTAAAAGCAACCAATATGCTAACTGGAGCTTAATGTGTGTGTTATATACTATGTGCTCTGGGTTTCACACATGTGCATACTAGGGATGCACCGATATATCGGCCGAAAATTGCACTTTTGGCATGATTACATTTAAAAAGTTTATAAAAATAAAATTAAAAAATGTGAAAAAATAAAAAAACATTTTCGGTATCGGTTTCAGTTTCGGCCTGACATTTTTCTAATTTCGGTTTAGTTTCGGTTTTAAAATTTCCATTTCGGTGCACCTCTAGTGCATACATAACAAATAAAAAAAATAAAGTTACTCTACAATAAACTGAGTGTATACCTATGATTATTCAGTTGTGCATCTTAAAAAGGAATTTCAGGCAACCAATGAAACCAATCAATTAGCTACTGTTTTCCAGCAAACAAAAGCAACTATGCCAAAAACAAAAAGTTCACT